GATGGTATCCGAATCAAGGCACTAAGCTTGTCCAGGTTTTTAGCCGTCCAGGGCCCGTAGTCTTTAGATTCCTCCAGGGTGTCCTTAAGACTAGCAATTAAGTCATCCACGATGACTCTTAAATTGAATTACGCTCTGCCCTGCCCTTTTGGGCTTTTGAGCCCAGAATTGATGTCAGCATCCTCGAAAACATTCGAAACTGGGACAATAGTTAACCTGGCGCCACTTACTGCTTATGAACCTTTTCCGATTTCCTCTAGGGGTTTTGTTGAGCTGATTACGATTATGACGGATATGACGTTCCGATGATGATGATAATGATGATGAGAGGTGTCTGTGCCGATCAACTTTTCTCTCGCTTAGTATAACCGCTTTCGTATTTATTTACGCGTTTGTCTGCTTGCTTGTGTAGTTGCCTTTGGATGAACAGACTACACAAATAAAGAGTCTTAGGTAGGTTATTAAATAACGTAGTCCATTTTAAGACCAAAATGGTGGTGTGGCCTTTAGTATGGTCGCAGTCTCCTGATGATGTATATAAGTGGGCTGCCCTCGTTTTCGTAACTTGGTCGTGTTGTCAGGGTGACTTAGTAGGTATCATAATTCCCAGCGTCAGGCGGTGGATTTGGTACATTCTTAGACGTTTTGCCGGCATCGTCAGTGAGTCTTGCCATTCTCAGCGCCAAGCTACAACTCGTCAAAGAGACAAATGAAGTCAATCCCCTAACCAACTTTGTGGCTTGATGCCGACTACGATGCAGGCGAAACGTTTGAGAATGTACCAAATCCACGGTCCGGCACTGGAAGTTATGATAACTACTGAGTCGCCTTGACAGCACGGCCGAGTTGCAAGAATTAGGTCAGTCCACTTAGTCCAGTTGGTTAACACAAATGTATGAGTCGATCGAACTCCTTCCTTAATGTGGACATTGCCTCATCTTTTTGTAGATATGTCTATCTGATTAGTTTCACCTTGTGTTCTGGACGTAGAAGTTTAGCCCTCTTCTCGACTAGCCCCACTGTGCAACAGAATGACTGAAGTGGGTTTCATGGGGGGTTGAGTTATGGGAGGGCAACGAAGCGTTCGATGGTTCGACTACCCTCCTGCAGACAATTTTTTGCCTATGCAAGTGGTGAACTGACGAACTGAATGGCTGTTCATCGCCAGTGACGTCATGCATAAGGGAGGCTGAGGGCCGGGCAAGCTGCCCCTTATTTTCGAACTGTCTGGAGTAGGACCATGTCAACATTGCTCCGGACACCAGGAACTGGAGGGCTAGCATCGGAAGGACAGGCATCTTGACTAGGGTGTAGGCAAGTTTATGCGTCTAAGTAGGTGTGCTAACGTGTGGATGGGGCAAAGAGAGCGAGCGAGTGAGGGTATATATATATATATATATATATATATTCATGTGTGTATGTGTGTGAGAGAGATAGAGAGAGAAAGAGAGGGGGCGAATTGGGGTAAATAAAGTAGATGAAAGGAAAATGGAAGGAAGAAAGTGAAGGCAAAGGAAAGGGAACGAAACATGATCTCACTTGCTTCAAGTACATGAAATGTCAACCATGAGATGCATTAATCGTGTACCAAGTGTTGTGACTGCGACTTATGGGAACTACCAGACAGCATGAGGCGGGAGTATGCAAGGTACAAGCAAGCCTCAACTTCCTGTCTTTTATCTGCTGGATCTCTTCCCGCTTCCTCTTGCATCCGTGTACATGCCCTTAAACACTACGCAATCTTTCATCAATTCTGTGCATCCTTCCGTCAATCCGTCAGGCCTTCAGTCAGCCAGTCAATCAGTCTATCAGCCTCTTGAGCACCAGGCAACCAATGGTTTACCTTCCCCATAAAACAAGACTCAATGATAGTTTCGACGCCAGTCCACCATTATGCACATTCCGTCTGTCTGTTCGACTGGGGAACTCGCTGCCAGACCATCATATGCACTCAGAGCATTTGCTGTAGGTGGGTGATTGCAGGAGTGTGGGGAGAAGGGACGAAATTCACTCCTTCACGTACCAACAAAACGCCGATTTGATTGGCCGCCCCACCTCATGCAGCGGGAGAGATATTTTAAGGGCTGTAGCTTCACATTTATCAGCCAGTGGCCGTGGACACGCCGAAAGGCAGGCGGAAAAGACAGTTTCAATTATCATGCAGCTCAGAGCATCACGCAACGGTAAACTGTGGTCTCGACTTGATGAACTGTTCAGCCGAGCCTGACGTTTACTAATCACTGAACTGCACGCGAATGAACCCTCTCTCAAATGGCCTAAGAGGTAGTTCTGTGTCGGGACACTCCGAGAGAGCGGGTTCCGATGGCCTCGTGGCGTTTTAGGCCTAGGAGACGACAATGCCAACACAGTTGGT